GCTTGTCTATTATTTGACTGAATATTTACCCCAGAAGTGGTTTCAGTTCCATGCTTAAAGTGTGATTAAGGGCCACAGTCTGTGGTGCTCCACCAGTCTCATCAGACCAATAAGTCTGGTATTTCTTACAATTTTGCATTTTGTTTCACGTTTTTTTTTTTTTTCTTTCACTCTGTCTAGGACTTTCTATTGTGATCCCTATCAGACCAGTCAGTAATGGTAACTGGGCATCATCTAGTTATTCTGGTATCAAGGGAGTGGAGGTTGTGGTTTGCATGGTTCATTAGTCCTTTGGACCAATTCCCTTGAGTCTGATTTTCTTCACTCTTTTTTGCTCTGGATGGGGAGAAACCAATAGTTGTGTCTTAGACAGGCACTCAAATGCTTTTAAGGTTCCAGTCACTATTTACCAAAGACGTAGAATATTGTCTTTGTGCATTATGTTATGCCAATTGACCTAGATGTCCCCCAAGACTGTTCCTAAGCCCCCAAGTCTAGTGATTTATTCCCTCCATGTGTTTGGCGATGACTAAGAAGTTTTCATAACTTTGCTCCCTGTATACTCTACTGCTTACATGGATATATTTGTAGCACATACAAATCATGCAGATGGAGAAATATCCTCTGCCATGCCTATATGTTACTTGGTAAAGTAAAGGGTCTGTGAAAAACAGGAAGACCCACCAATAGATTGACACAGTGGCAGCAGCAATGGACTCAAATATGACAACAATTGTGAGGAGATGCAGGACTGCACAATGTTTCGTTCTGTTGTGCATAGGGTTGCTATGAGTCAGAATAGACTTGCCAGCACCTAACAACACCAATGTATACTCCTAAGTATAGTCCCATTCACCTTCCTACATTTGTTCAACTTGCATGTCTACCTATGTAACAACTTATATATTATTGCTTGTTATTACAGGATTATGTATGTAATAGTATTTATCTTTATTGTATTTTACTGTCATGCAACTCCTAGTGTCTTCCTTTGCCTTGGTAATGTTGTACTGACCTTTGCCTTATTGTATTTTGCATTTCCTTTCACTCAATACTAATACATGGCCACTCTCTAGTTAGTAATTTTCTCTTCCTTCCTCTCCCATTCCTGCTAACCATCAAAGAATGTTTTCTTCTGTGTGAAAAGTTTTTCTTGATTTTTTTTATAATAATGGTCTGATACAATATGTGTCTCTTTGTGATTGATTTATTTTACTCAGCATAATGCCCTTCTGGTGTGTACCACTGGACTGCTCACCACAAGGTTGGGCTGTTCAGATCCACAAGTTGCTCCTTGGAAACTCTACACAGGGTTGCTATGAGTTGGAATCGATTTGATAGCAGCAGGTTTAATGTCTTCCAGGTTCTTCCATATTTTTTACTATTTTTTAATGTTACATGGTATTTTAGCATGTGTATGTACCATAAATTTTTTTTATCCATTCATCACAAGTGGATGATCACTTCCACTGTCTCCATCATTGTTTGCTATTTGTAAAAATGGTGGCAGTGACATGTGTGTGTGTGTGGGTGGCATGTGACCTCTTCTAATTTCTCAAGAGGGGTAGAGAAGAATCAAAATCATCAGCATCTGTCACCCAAAGCTGATTCCTATGAAGAGAAGGTCATACATTCCTTCACCTTACAGCCTTTTTTACCAACTCTGACATCAATCGTGCCTCCATGGCAATCTCTCCTCTGAGTTACATAATTCATTGCAGTGACCACACAGAACTCACAGGCAATAATCATGATTTAGGGGTTTACTAGGGAAATAACAGGTTACAGTTTAGGTTCAGGAACACTCAGGATACAGTTCTTTAATCAGGACAGCCTCTTCTCAGCCATGTCTAGACACACCACTCTCTGGCTCTCAGCCTCTCTGCCAGGCCTCTGCTCTGCTTGCACAAGTATTACAAAGCTCTTTTGGCTCTGCTGATTAAGTGTCTAAAGGCACCCCACTTCTCCAGCAAGTCATTTGTCCAAAGGCACTTAGTTTTCTTGCACTCTGTGCCTGGGAGTTCGCCGGTCTGTCTTATGCCAGTCTCTTGTTAATGCTACTTCTGCTGCCACTGTTTCTTCACTGCAGTTTCTTGCCATCTCTCATTGTCTGTGGTATCTCAACTCTCTGCCTTCTGGATCAAGAAGGTTCTGTGCAGAGATCCGGATTTAAAGGATGCACTCCATTCCTGAATCTCCTTTCTTATTGTTAGTGAGAGCCCCCTTTCTGCCTCTTTGCTGTTTGTTGTTAGGTATTATTGAGTGGGTTCAGATTCACAGCGACCCTATATAGATAGGGCTTCTGAGGAGAAGCTGGTGGGTTTGAACGGCTGACCTTCTGTTTCACAGTCCAGTGCTTATCATACAATGTCATGCCTCTGGGATGTCTCATTTTAAGCCTAGCAGGATGACAAAATTGACCAATCCTCATGTTAGCGTTTTATTTTATTTGCATGGTCCCTCCCCCACAAGGTGGGAGTGTAGTGACTCTGTAGGATAAACATTGGACTGTAAACCACAGGTCACCAGTACAAACCCACGTGCTGCTCCATAGAAGAAAGATGAAGCTTTTGCTCCCGCAAAGATTTACAGGCTCTGAAACCTATACAGCATCGCTATGAGTTAAAACCGACTTGATTACACTTAACAACAACATTGGCTAATGGGAGGGGTCCCTGGTGATACAGTGGACTTCTGGTGTGGTGCTGTAGGATGAGCACTGAACTGTGAACCATGAGGTCAGAAGTTCAAACCCACCAGCTGCTCCTTGGAAACCCTATACAGGGTCACTATTAGTCAGAACTAACTTGATGGCACTTAATAAAAACAAAAACTGGTAGCACAGTGGATTAAATGTTCTACAGCTAACTACAAGTTCAGCAGTACAAACCCACCAACTGCTACACAGGAGAAAGATGAGGTTATGTTCTCCTCTAAAGATTGACACTCTTGGAAATCCCAAGGAACAGTTCTATTCTGTCCTCGAGGGTTGGTATGAGTGGGAATTAACTCAGTGGTAGTTGGCAATGGCTAATGATTGGGAGCATTTCTTCACATGTTTGTTGATTGCCTGAATGTTTCCTTTGGCGAAAGTTTATTCATGTTTTCTGCCCACTTTTAAAATTGGATTGCTTGTCTTTTTGTTGAGCAATATTTTTGCTTTATCATTTAAACTATGACTTTTTAATAAAATTGCATCTAAAACACTTAGCTATTGGTTAGTATACTCTTGAAATGTGTGCACAATAAACAATCATTGATTTTCCTCTTTGTTGTTTTTGAACAATTTTTATTTGAGGGTTGAGGGTGTAACTTTCAGGATATAATGCAGTTTGCCAAATTCTGTCATTCTCCACCACCACCACCACCCTGCCTTTTTTTTTAATGTCATACAGGGTGTGGTGCCTTTAGAGAATTTAAAAAAACAAACAAAGTTGTAGCTCTTGGTGTTTTTCCCCTTTACTTTTTTAAAAGTGGGAATATAAAGCCCCAGGGAAATTTTTGTTCCCACTATTTAAGTTTCTGGGTCTCCCATTATTAAAAGTCAGATTATTCTCTACAGCCAGTTTTGACTTTATTCTTTTCTTAGAGTGCTTGTTTCCTTAACATTGTAAACTCATGATTAGAAATAAAGTCATGATAAATACTAGTTTAATCCTTTTATTTTCCTTCTCCTTGTTGTTGTTTTTAGGTGCCATCTAACGCATAGAAACCCTGTATAGAATTTCTGAGGAACAACTGGTGGGTTTGAACTGCCAACCTCATGGTTAGCAATCCAGCTCCACAGTGCCACACCAGGAGGAACAGCACAAATTAGGTATTAAATTCAGTATAGCACTATGTCGTGGTATAGTTGTTGAACTGTCTGCTGCAGTTCAAACTCATCAGCTACTCCTAGAGAGACTTGATGGCACTTAACAACAAAAAACAACACTTAAATTGTGTGTTTAAACTTATATTTTTATGTAATTGAATATAAGAAAGTCTTGATTCCACAAGACTGGAATTGGTTTTAGAAAAACAAATTCTCTGTTAAAGTTAATTTTTCAGTACTACAGAAAAAAATAGTTGAAGAAACTTTTTTAAGACCAGAAGGTCCCCACAAAGAAATGCCATTTTCATTCAGACCATAACCTGGGATGCTGGGATTTGATGATTCTGATTCTGTGTTCATTATTTGGCATAGTTCATTCTCTTAATAACATTTCACTCACTAATCAATTATCTGAAAACACATTTCTAAATCTCAGAGAAATGATCTCCTTGATTCTTCTCACCAATAAAAACAAAGAAATCAACTGAGATGTGTGTGTGTTTAAAATAAGAGAATAAAAGCAGGAATATGATGGGATCCTTTTTCTACTTTCCCTTTCATTGGATATGGACATTTGAAGGAGATAGATATAAAGAAGGAACCTCTGGTTTTCCAGGAACCAGCAAGGGCTGACACTTTTTATTTAACTAGGATAAAACACTCCCCAACGCGAAGTTCACAACCTCACCCTGTAAATCGATCAAGGAACCAGGTCTCTCTTGGGTACCACTTGGCGAGGGTTTCATCTTTTCATCCTTCTTCCCACAGACCCTGCGTCTGTGGTATGAGAGGAGTTGTGGGTGCCGGGGTGCCAGGGACAACGCGTCCTCTTACCCAGAGGGGAGGAGGCAGCTCTGGCCTAGGAGCCGCCCCTCCCGCTGCTGGAGAACAAACGGGATATTCAGCAGTGGCCTGTGGCTGCCAGAGCAACTCCTCAGGGGAAATTAAGAGTTGAGTCAGACTGCACCGTAATCGCCTTTAAAAGCGCCCCCACTCCTCCAGCCGCGCGTACCCGGCTACCTGTGCTGCCCCGTGCCTGTGTGTGTGTGTGTGTGTGTGTGTGTGTGTAAGGGAGAGCAAACCGGTGTGTGAGGCAGTGTTTATGCCGGCGTGAAAGCCGGTGTGTGAGTCTGGGTGGGTGCAAATCGGTGTGTGCACCTCTGTGGGGACCAGTGTGTGAGACGAGGTGCGCGGCGGCGTGCGCGCTGGTGGGAGCAAGTCCTGAGCGTCTACACCAGCCATGAGGAGCGCGAGCGCCTGGGCCCCGCTCTGTCTGCTGTTGGCCGCTGCAGCCCAGCTTGCGCTGCCGCAACCCCCGGAGAGGTAACGCGACCCCCGCGCGGGCTCCCTCCCTGCCTTCCGTTCCTCCTCCGCTGCTTTTCTCAATCGGCTTCTGGGCACCCCAGTGACCCAGCGCAGACCCTGTGCTCAGTGGTCAGCGCCCACCTCCCCTTCGTGTGCACAACTCCTGGAATCTCAGCACCGCGCCGGCCTGCGGGGTGCAATCCGCGCGCTCAGCTCATCTAGCCATGCGGCGGCCTTGCAACCGGTCCGGCCACCACGTGGCGGGGGGCTTAATCTCAATTCTCCCCTCCCCAAAGGCGTATGAGGGCCTGGAACTGTGTGGACTCTGGTTTACTTCTACTTGTTTCTCCCCACCCGAGTGGTTTTGCCTAGAGACCTAAGCCAGAGGAAAGACCGAGTCGCAGGGCGCCCAGGGAGTGGTTCCCAAGAAGTTAACTCTTCACCAGCCTCCGAGCTGCGGGACCGAGTCCTGGACCTTCACTGGGGGGATCCCCGCCTGATGGCCAACTTCAGCATCCCCCCACCTCCATCGTAATCCAGCGCCCATTTCAACGGGAGGCTTTGCTAATAGGCAATGATTTTCAGAAATGGACGGAGAAGCACTCATCTCTTTAAAGCTTGGAATTTAAAACTTTTTATACTAACCAACTGCGTAGTAACTTTTAAAATCAGGTACCGCACACAGTTCTGAGCTTCTCACTTACTACCACCACTTAAATGGACCTAGCTACCAATTTTCTCTAAGACTTTACCATCACGTGGCCTTGTTTGTATATACTCGTGTGTGCATACCTTTACATATTGTTGTTAGGTGCCATGGACTCGAAATGAAGGGTCTTCAAAAACTTCATGGAAAAATGGAATGAAATTTTCCCACAAACTTTTGTAGCCCCTTCCTACATGTAATCACGCATGAGGTCGTCATGAGTTAAAATCACTGGAGGTTAACTGTGTTGTTGTTAAGTGACATCGAGTCAGTTCCAACTCATAGGGATCCTGTATAGGGTTTCTGAAGAAGAGAGACTGGTGGGTTTGAACCACCAACATTGCAGTTAACAACCAGTGCTTATCCTTATAGCGCCACACCTGAACTCTGGAGGTCAAGTAGCAATATACATATTGGGAGCAGACAGCATCATCTTCCTCCCACGGAGTGACTGATGGGTTTAAACTGCCAATCTTGTGGTTATTCAACACCACCACCAGGTCTCTCTGGATATATACATAGCCACACATGCATAAATACTTAATTTTGTAATTATAATGGAGACAGATGGCAGATGAACTGAATATTTTATCATGTTATAATTTAAATATTCTAAGATCTAGCAAGCTTTAGGACACTTATATATTGCAGACATCTGTTAATCAGTATTAGCTTTCTGAAGCTAATGTTAAATTATTAAACTGTTACTACCTAAATTTCCTTCCCTCTTTTATTTTCACAGACCTGTTTTCACATGTGGTGGCATTTTTACTGGAGAGTCTGGATTTATTGGCAGCGAAGGTTTTCCTGGAGTGTACCCTCCAAATAGCAAATGCACTTGGAAAATCACAGTAAGTTTTTTTTTCTTTAAAAAAAGGTATTCTCCTGGAAATGAAACAATGGAAGGCTGCTGAATTTTTACTCTGGTATCAGGACTTGGGTTAGGGGCAAATGCCTGAAATAGTGAAATGTTGGAGTTATCTCAACTATTTGGGAAATTTTTATTAATAGAAGTAGTGGTGTTCTGCATTAGCAATTACAAAGGGCACAAGTCAGTGTTTGAAGGAATCAGTTTTTAAAACAGATGTGTTCTAAAATCCCAGCCTGACTCAGTTGAGTTTTATGGATTAAAAATTAAATCTATTTTCATCAAAGTTCTGTTATAATAATGCTTAGATGCTATTTGTTGTCTGTGTCTTGCATAAATGTCTCCCACTGGGGGATAGGAAATCAAAGTCTGTACTAACTCTTGACTAATTTATATCCATTAAGAAAAGAAAAAAAAATACCACTTAATGTCTTTGGGTTGAAACCATCACTAAAGACAATGTCAGATTAGGAATAAAAATAACCACAATAAAGAAATAAAGCCCAAATAGCAAACCTGGTCTAATATGATGCTTCTTAGTAATGGCATATACTATGCTGACTCAAGATACAGATAACAAAGCCAGACAACTGAAAGCAGAAAAACGCCTGAATTTAAAATCAGCTAGATTGAGTCATCTGTCCAGTCAGTTTAACAATAACATTTTTGGTTTAAAAAAAAAAAAAAAAATTGGGTGGAAGTTGTTTGGTAATTTGACACATTGGATCATGGAAACCTTCATTTAGTCAGATTGTGCCACCCACTGATTAAGACTTTAAATAGCTACCGTTTTATTGAGCACTTACTGTGTGCTAGGCACTGTGCCAAGCAGTTAAAAAGCATAATCTCATTGAACCCTCAAAACAACCTTATTATCCTGATTTCATAGATGAAGACATTGAGACTTACAACAATTTTGTAAAGTGATTGACCAAACAGTTGGTAAACCCAACTTTTATGCATGATCAAACTAAACATATTTTGGAAAGGAGGGTCCTTTGATAGATACCCTCTTCTCCCATAAAATAAAGCTTTGCTCTTATATGTATTTATCGTATCTATCATTTATCATCTAATGTACTGGTCCCGATTTTGTTACATTACTGTAGCACATGGGACAAGGAGAGAGTGAGTCATAGAACACAGTTTTGAAATGATTGATAGTAGTTTGAATGGGAAATAAGACTATGGGAAAAAACAACAACCATAAAAGTAGTTTGGTTTTTATATTATGCTATTGTTGTTGTTAGGTACTGTTGAGTCTGTTCCGACTCATAGTGACTCTAGGCACTACAGAATCAAATACTACCTGGTCCTGCACTTCCACAGTTGTTGTTAAGCTTGAGCTCATTGCTGCTGCCACTGAGCCATTCATCTTCCCCCTTTTCACTGACCCTCCACTTTATCAAGCATAATGTGCTCTCCTGCCAGTGGTCCCTCCTGATAACATGTCCAAAGTAAGAGAGATAAAGTCTCACTATCCTGGATTCCAAGGAGCATTCTAGTTGCACTTCTTCCAACAGTCCATGGCACTTTTAATATTCTTCTCCAACACCATAATTCAAATACACTGATTCTTTTAAGGTCTTCCTTATTCATTGCCCAACTTTCACATGTATATGAGACTAATGAAAATACCATGGCTTGGGTCAGGCACACCTTAGTCCTCAAACTGACATCTTTGCTCATGAACCCTTTAAAGAGGTCTAGCAGATTCACCTAATCATTAGGTCCTAATGCAATACGTAGTTTGATTTTTTGACTGCTGCTTCCATGAGTATTGATTATGGATCCAAGCAAAATGAAGTCTTTTGACAATTTCAATCTTTTCTCCATTTATCATGATGTTATATAATGATTTGTCAAGTCAGCCCCAACACATAGCAACCCCGTGCACAACAAAAGGAAATATACCCAGCTGTGAGCCATCTTCAGTTTTTGCTATGTTCGAGCCCATTGTTGCTGCCATCGTGTCTATCCATCTCAGCAAGGGTCTGCTCCTTTTTTGCTGACCCTCCAACAAACGTGATATACTTTTCCAGGGACTGGTCCCTCCTAATAACATGTCCAAAGTATATGAGACAAAGTATCCTTGCTTCTAAGGAACTTTCTGGCTGGACTTCTTCCAATAGAGATGTGTTGGTTCTTCTAATGGTTCAGTATTCTTCACCAACACCAATTGCATTAATTCTTATTCATTGTACAGCTTTCATATGCATATAAGGTGACTGAAAATATGATGTGTTGGTTCAGGTGTACCTTAGTCCTCAAAGTGACATCTTTGCTTTTTTATATATTAATGAGGTATTTTGCAGCAGATTTGTCCAATGCAATTGTTGTTGTTAAGTTTGTTTGCATCAGTTCAGACTCATAGTGATCCTGCATAGGATTTCCAAGGAGCAGCTGGTGGGTTTGAACCACTGGCCTTGTTCTTATCCTACATTGCCCAATGAAATACATTCTTTGATTTTTTGCTGCTTCCATGAGTGTTAATTGTGGAACTAAGTAAAATGAAATCCTTGAAAACTTCAATATTTTCCATTTATCATGATGTTGTTTACTGGTCCAGTTGTGAGGATTTTTGTTTTCTTTACTTCGAGTTATAATCCATACTGAGGCTATATTATTTGATCTTAATCATCAAGTATTTCAAGTCTTCTGTGTTCTGTCTTGTTTTCCACAATGCCTTCAGTGCAGCTTGGACTTATTTCTTCAATATCATCGGTTCTTGATCTTATGCTTCCTCCTGAAATGATTGAATGTCGACCAATTCTTTTTGGTACAGTGATTTTATGTATCCCTTCCATCTTCTTTTGATCCTTCCTGCAGCATTCAACATTTTGCTTATTGTTGTTGTTGTTAAGTTACCGTCAAGTCTATAGAATCCTTCAGTACTGTTACTTGAGGCTTGGATTTTTCCTTCCATTCTTTCAGCTTGAGAAATGCTGAGCATGTTCTTCCCTTTTGGTTTTCTGACTTCCTGTCTTTGCACATTTCATTGTAATGCTTGACTATGTCTTCTCAAGCTTCCCCTTGAAATGGTCTGTTCAGCTTTTGCGTCATCATTTCTTCTATTTGTATTAGCTACTCTACATTCAAGAGTAAGTTTCAGAGCCTCTTCTGACATCCACTTTGGTCATTTTTCCTTGTCTTTTCAATTACCTTTTGCTTTCTTCATGGATGAAGTTCTTGGTGTTATCCCACAACTCTCTGATCTTTTGTCAATATTGTCTAGTGCATCAAATCTGTTCTTGAGATGGTCTCTAAATTTAGGTGGGATGCATTTAAGGTCATTTTGGCTTCTGTGGACTTATTTAGTTTTCTTCTGCTTCAGCCTGAACTTGCATATGAACTATTGATGGTCTGTTCCACAGTCTGCCCTGGCCTTGTTTTGGTTGATGATATTGAACTTCTCCACCATCTCTTCTCATAGATGTTGTCAATTTGATTCCAGTGTATTCCATCTGGCTAGACCCACGTGTATAGTTGCCATTTGTGTTGCTTTAAAAACGGTATTTACAGTGAAGAAGTTGCTGGGTTTACAAAATTTTATCTCCAGTGTCATTTCTATCACCAAAGCCATATTTTCCAACTGCATATCCTTCCTCTTTGTTTCCAACTTTCCCATTCCAGCCACCAGTAACTACCAGCACATTTTGATTGCATGCTTGATCAGTTTTAGACTGAAGAGATTCTTCAATTTCTTTATCATTGGCTTTGATGGTTAGTGTGTAAATTTGAATAATACTTGAATTAACTGATCTTCCTTGAAGGTGTATAGCTATTATCCTATCACTGACACATTGTACTTCCAGATAGATCTTGAACTGTTCTTTTTGACAATGAATGTGACACCATTCCTCTTAATTTGTCATTCCAGGCATAGTAAACCAAATGATTGTCTGATTCCAAATGGCCAATAATTGTCCATTTCAGCTCACTAATGCTTAGTATATCAATTTTTATGCATTGCATTTCATTTGGACAACTTCCAATTTTCCTAGATTCATACTTCATACATTCATTCCATTATTAATGGAATCTTTTCTCTCATTTTGTGTTTCTTCTCATTTTGAGTCAAGCCCCATCAGCCAATGTAGGTCCTGAAAGCTTTGCTCCATTCACGTCCTACTTTGAGGAGGCAGCTCTTCTCTAGATGCATTCTGAGTGCCTTCCAACCTGAGGGGTTCATCTTCGAGCACTATAGCATACACTGTTTCACTGCTATTCATAAGGTTTTCAGTGGCTAATCCCTAAGAAGTCGACTGCCTATTTCCTTTTCCTAGTCTGTTCTTAAGGAGCTCTGGCAGTGGTTACAAATCAGGCTGCTAATCTCATGGTCAGCGTTAGAAAATACCAGCTGTTCCGCAGGAGAAAGATGAGGCTTTCTGCTCCCGTAAAGATTTATAGCCTTGGAAACCCTATACAGGGTCACTGTGAGTCGGAACCGACTCCACGGCATATAACAACAACAACAACAACAACAACAACAGTCTGTTCTTAGTCTGGAAGCTCTGCTGAAACCTGTCCACCATGGGTGAATTTGCTGATGTTTGAAACACCAGTGGCATAGCTTCCAGCATCACAGCAACACACAAGCCACCACAGTATGACAAACTGGTAGATGTGTGGGGTTTTATATTACTGTTGTTGTTAGATGCCATTGAGTTCCCACCCATAGCAACCCAATGCACAACAGAATGAAAGAGTTGCCCAGTCCTGCACCATCTTCACAATCGTCATTATGGCTGAGCCACTGTGCCAACCCATCTCATAGGGTTTCCTCTTTTTCACTGACTCTCCACTTTACCAAGCATTATTTCCTTCTCCAGGAACTGCTTCCTCCTGATAGTATGTCTCAAGATGAAGTCTCACCATCCTGACTTCTAAAGAGCATTCTAGTTATACTTCTTCCAACACAGATTTGTTTGTTTTTGTACCTTTAATATTCTTCTCCAATACTATAGCTCAAATGCATCATTT